AGCAGGAAATACAGAAACAAATAGAACAAATGTTAAGCGACGGGATAATAGTACCAAGTAAAAGCGAGTGGAATTTTCCATTAATTGTTGTCCCTAAGAAGTTAGATGCGACTGGAAAAAGGAAGTGGCACATTTGTATAGATTTTCGAAAATTAAATGACGTCACCATAGGGGACAGTTTTCCTCTCCCCAATATACAAGATATTTTGGACAAAATTGGAAAGGCAAGATATTTTTCAGCATTGGATTGTGCTAGTGGCTATCTCCAAGTTCCTATTGTACCTGAGGATCAATGCAAAACTACTTTTAGTACACCCAAGGGTCATTTTGAGTATACACAAATGCTGTTTGGTCTTAAATCGGCACCCGCGACATTTCAGCGTATGATGAACGCAGTATTACGTGAATCAATAGGTGAAAGATGTTTTGTGCACATGGATGACATTTTAGTAATGGGAGAGACATTAGAAGAACATCATAGACATTTGCGAGAAGTATTTGGTCAATTAAGAAAATATAACATCAAAATTGAACCTGATAAATGTGAATTTTTAAAGTTATAATTAACTTATTTAGGACATGTTGTGACAGTGCAAGGAGTCAAACCTGATCAAAAGAAAATTCAGGCAGTGACAGATTTTCCTTTGCCAAAATCACCCAAGGATATATCATTTTTAGGCTTGGCAGGTTATTATAGGAAGTTTATAGATAAATTTAATGAAATAGCCAGACCTTTAACAGAACTGTTGAAAAAGGATATAGAATGGAAATGGACAGATGCAGAACAGGTTAGTTTTGAGTTACTAAACCAGAAACTAACACAAGTTCAAGTATTACAGTATCCCGACTTCACACAACCTTTTATATTGACGACTGACGCTAGTGGGTACGCAATTGGTGCCATACTCAATCAGGGTAAGCTAGGCCAAGATAGACCAGTCGCTTATGCGAGTAGGATCTTAAATAAAGCGGAAATTAATTATAGTACTGTAAAAAAGGAACTTTTAGCCATTGTGTGGGCTTGCAAACATTTCAGACCGTATTTGTTAGGAAGAAAATTTCAGGTTATTACAGATCATAAAGGGTTAGTTTGGGTTTTTAATGTGAAAGATCCTAGTTCTAGGTTGATGAGATGGAGATTATTGCTCGAAGAATATGAGTATGAAGTACAATACAGGGCCGGTACAAGGAACTGTAATGCCGACAGTTTAAGTAGATATCCTGTAGAATGTTTGTCAGTTGATATAGAGCAAATAGATAAGGATAGAAAATTAAAAATAATTAATGAAATGCATAACTGCCCTGTGGGAGGCCATCAAGGAGTCCAACAAACAGTGGAGAGAATAAAATTATATATTATTTGGCCGGGTTTAGAGCAAGATGTGACAGAGTACGTGAGAAGGTGTAAAATTTGTCAAGTAAGTAAAGAATCAAACCTTAAAATAAAACAGCACTTAGAAATTACAGATACACATGATAAACCTTGGATCAAAATTTATTTAGACACAGTAGGACCCTTACCGCAGACAGAAAATAATAATAAATATATTTTGACATGCCAAGACAATTTGAGTAAATACATCATAGTAATTCCAATTAAAAATAAAACAGTAGAGGAAGTAACAGACACCTTCGTGAATAAAGTTATTTTAATTTATGGCATTCCAAATTACATAGTGACAGATCAAGGCACGAATTTCATGTCCAACATGTTTAAAAGAATTTGTAAACTATTTAAAATTGAGAAAATTCATACCGCAGCATACCATCCTGAAAGTAATGGTGCCTTAGAGCGGACACATAAAACATTAGTAACCTATTTACGTTGTTTTTGTGATTCAAAATCTCCAGATTGGGATAAATGGTTACCTTTCGCAAGTTTCACGTATAACACTACACCACACACAATCACGAAATTTTCACCTTATGAGATACTGTATGGAAGAAAATGTAATATTCCAGGTACTTTACAAACTACACCTCAACCATTGTATAATTATGACGACATTGTGCAAAATGTAAAGTTCAAAATGCAGAATTGTCACCAAGTAGCAAAAGAAAGGCTGATTAAATTTAAGGAAAAACAACAGGAGAGAACAAAAGCCAATAGTGTCAATTTTAATGTAAATGACTTGGTATTGTTAAAAGTAGAAGCTAGACACAAATTAGAACCCATATGGAGAGGGCCATATGAGATTAAAGAAATGAAAGGACCAAATGCGTATTCAAGAACTAGGAAAACGTAAACATCAAGAAGTGCATACAAACAGATTAAAAGCATATTTCTCTTCCTTTGTAGGAAAAGAAGCATGAAACTACGCAGCATTTGGGCAATGGTATTACTCTTGTTGTGGTGGGAACAAATTAAAGCACAAGATGTACAGCAATTACAATCGCAAACAGGCATTTATTTTGATGAGGTAGGAATCATACTCTTCTACCCAATGCAATGGAAAGTAGTAAGTTATATAAATTTAGAGCCAACACGAGAGCTTTGGAAGCAGACTAAAGATCATTGGAAAAAAATAGCTGAATATTGTAACAAAGTAGAAAGCACAAATTGGTATCATATGACAGATTGTGGTACTTTCCAACAATACATGAGATTCAAAACTCGTTACATTGACAATATGAAAGATTTGGTTAGTGAATATTTGACAGTCACAAAACACTAATACCTTTAGGAAAACGCAAAGAACAAAAAGAGGAGTTTTAAACTTTGTAGGAGACATAGCAAAAATATTATTTGGAACATTATCACAATCCGACGCAAAAGAATACAATAAACATATTTCAGAATTGGAGAAAGAACAGGCTGAATTTTTACATATGTTAAAAGATCAAATGACAGTAATAAAATCAATAATGAGTTCCGTAAATTTAACCATTCAAAATGAAAGACTGTTAAAAGAAAGTTTGAATAAATTGAAAAACTACACAGTTAGTAAAATTAGTGCATTGGATGAAGAAATGAGGAATGTTAATCAGGTCAATGAGCAAATTAGGATAATCCAAAGAGGTATAGATGAGTGTCAACACTCATTCAAGGTATTGTTCGACGCTTTTGTTCACGCAGAGCAAGGAACTCTGCAACCACAATTGATCACCACAGAAAAGATTACCTAACTTTTCTTTTGCTGAACTTCAGAAAATCATTATACCTCATACCTACTCCTACAAGCAATATTTGGTTTATGTTTTGAACATCCCTCTTGTCTCTTCTACAACCTGTCATCTCTATAAGATCCTTCCATTCCCTGATAAGAAAGAAACAAATACCTATGTGTTCATCAGTTCAAATAAGGAATACATTTTTAGTGACCCAATTAGGCAACATTTTGGTAAAATGTCAACAAACGAATTAACAGGATGCTTCCAACCAAATGTATTGCAATTCGTATGCAAGGAAGATATCCCTATTTATACCTACTTACCCGAAACGGATTGTGAAGCCACACTCCTTCACCCCTCCACTACCTATATGCCTAACAGTTGTGAAACAAGAGTGACCAATTTGCAAAAGACATTTTGGATACCATTACACTTGAGTAATGAATGGTTATTTGTTTCACCAAACCAATATAAACTAACAGTGTTATGTGGAGATGAATCAAAACAAGTTACAATTCAAAATGAAGGTAAACTGACACTCAAACAGAATTGTAAAGCATTTTCAGCTTATGTAACTTTGTAAGCTATAACTACTATAACTTGTAATGTCACTAATGACTTCATGCCAAGTGAGCCACTCAACTTTGATTGTTCTTTTAATTTTGAAAAAACAACTGATTATGATAAATTGCAGTTGGATGCCATTGGTCAATACAATGTCTTCGGCTGATGATTTAAGACTAGCCAGTATTAAAGTTGAAGAAGTAGATAAGTTAATTGAGGAACAAGAAAGAAAAGATTAATCACATTGGTATGTTCACGCCACGGCATGGGTATCTTTAGTTGGTATAAGTATATTCTCAATATTATTGTGTTGTAAAAAATGTAGAGATTGTACATTTTGGTTTTGGGATAGATGGACACCTAAGAATTGTTGGAAAGAAACAACTGATCGTTTGTGTGTTAACATTCATAATCATTCAGTAAGCGAGAGAGTGTCATATAGTAAAGTTTCCAGAGAAGAACAATCTTCTCCAACAAGATTAGTTCCATCTTTATCTCCCATAGTGGAACAACCTCAATTTTCACATTTCGGAGCAACTGACGATGTTGCAAATGAAAAAGAAAAGGTAACAATAGCCTTTAGAACTAGGAACAAAAGTAAAATTTTCTGTTTGATTTTCTTTCTTATTTGTGTTGTATGAAAACATCCAGTGTTGTTTCGAAACCATATTATAATAAGAAAGTGTATTTGCATTCTTATTTGGAGAAAGACCCTCATTCTCCAAATCCTTCATTTAACATAAAAATTTTGAATTTTGATTGAAGTATTTTAGCCTGCATTGAAAGATTTTCTTTTACTTCACACAGTCTACTCTGCAGAAGAATTTACCTTAGTTGCTACTTTTTAAATATACTGTTGCTGTATGTATTTATTTAAATAGCTACAATAACTATGAATTTATATTTATATTGGTACTGTATTTATACTAAATGTAGGCAGTACACAAAATTGGCATTTAATATGAAGGTACAAATGGAATGTAAATAAAGTAAATATTGTTTTATTGTAGACTATTCTGTTCTATTAAACTCCATTGTATTATATTCTGTTCAGGGATTACATACATATTTTATTACATTACATGAATCCATAGTCAGATGACAATAGGATGTGGAAAAAATAACAGTAATACAATACATGTTATACAAATACAAGTCATATAAATGTCACAAAAATACAAACAAAGGGTTCACATGAAGTAG